AAGTCCCCTCAAATTCTAGGTTCCAAATTGCATTTAGAAACATTTATTCATGATATAACACACAGATTAAAACCATAAAATACTGGATAAAATTGTTTTTACTTAGTTTGACCTAGTAAAAACAAGCTCATATTAGATAACACATGTACCATATTTATTATTTATTTATTTGTCTGTTTTCTCAAGATAGGGTTTTTCTATGTAGCCCTGGCTGTCCTGGAACTTGCCCTGTAGACGGCTGGCCTTGAACTCACAAAGACCTGCAAGCCTCTGCCTCTAAGTGCTGCCACCACCTCCAGGCTATATGTACCATATCCAGAAGGCATAATTATTCTAGAATTCAATCACACACTAATCTACAAGTGTTGATATAAAACTTTTATTTTTTAAAAAAAAACCAGGTAATGAGCTAGGCAGTGGTGGCATACTCCTTTAATCCCAGCACTTGGGAGGCAGAGACAGGTGGATCTTTGTGACTTCAAGGTCAGCCTGGTCTACAGAATGAGTGCCAGGACAGGCTCCAAAGCTACACAGAGAAACCCTGTCTTGGGGGAGCAGAGGGGGGGCGTAGAGCCAGATAATGATAGTTATCTGGTTAGAAAAAGGTGAGAAGCAGGGAGCAGGGAAGGGCCAGCAAGATGGTTCGGTGGACAAAAGTGCTAATTTGCAAGTCTGAAAACCTGAGTTTGATCCTCAAAAAACACATGACAGAAGCAAAAAACCAAATAAACAAAAAACAACTCCCACAGCTGCTTCTGATCTCCTCTAACATACTGTGGTACATGTGACCCCACCTCCCCCATACACATACAAAAAAACGTGTAAAAATTAAGAGCCATTCTGTAATCTGATAAGACATGCCATATGCCAGACAGTTCTCATTGAGAACACAGAAAATCCTGCATCATAAATGCATTCAGTAAGGGCTGAGTCTCTTCTGCGTACATAGCACATGTACAACAGTAGGGGAAAGGACAAATCTTTGCCTTTCTGAAATATTTTTAATAGAGAAGATAATTAGCAAAAATGGTTTTGGAGTTCTAAAAATAAAATTTCCTAACCCTAATAAGCAATAAGGTTGTTATAGTTATATTTTAATAGGTCCTTAAAGGGAAAACCTTTACAGTTTTAAGTTCTTTGGTTCCAAATCTTTCAAGATTCCTATTATGCTTTAGAAAGCAGGTTAGGCAGTTCCAGCTAGGTAGATGCTCTTAGCCCAATTACATGCATTATTATTCTGAAATATATAATTCTACAGTTGAAAGTTACAAGGCTTGGTAATATAAAGAAAGTCTGATGGAATTTGGTAGGCTAGGGGGTAGAGACAGAGATAGCTCAACTGTTAAGAGCACCTCCTAATTTTGCAGAGGACCTAAGTTCAATTTGCAGAACCCACATGGTAACTCCAGTTTCAGGGAATTCAGTGCCCTCTTCTGATCATGTATGACACATACATGGTGACTAACATACACGCAGACTAAAAACTCACATACATAAAATAAATGCAAAAATATTAAATTTGGTAAGCTATGAGAAAAGTTTTTACAATATAATTCATAACAATGGATTTCTACTAGGTAGAGTTCAACAAAATTGGAAACACTAGAAAGATAAAAATGACAAATTTGTATGGATAAAAATTATATAATTCAAAACACACTAGTTTACAATTACTATAGCTTCCAACTAATTCTTAAACTATGCATCATGGGGGTCATGAAAACTCTGGCAACAATGAAAAATTTCTCAGGTGCAACAACCAAAAATGAGTTGTCAGCATTCACCCTGTTGCATCACTGAACTTCACTACAGCCTTGGAATACACAAAAATGTGTGTTTTGAACTGCACATATCATTGTGACAACAGAACACCTTGGATCAGATCTTGATTACTGTGAGTTACTAAGTGTATTCTTTCCATTATACATACAAAGTTTTCTGTTATAAAAAACAATGACTTGCCATGTTTTTTCTACCATGACCGCTCAGCATGCAAGTATCAAATTAGTACTGCTTTAGATTGAACTGTGTTAAGAATATTTGACTTCAAAAATTATTCTTCCTGCCAGGCAATGGCAGTGCACACATTCCTTTAATCCTAGGAAGCAAAGGCAGATGTAGCTCTGTAAATTTGAGGCCAGCCTGGTCTACAGAACAAGTTCCAGGACAGGCTCCAAAGATACATGAACCCCTGTCTCAAAAAATAGATTTAAGTAAATAAATAAATCTCAATATCTCTCTCTCTCTCTCTCTCTCTCTCTCTCTCTCTCTCTCACACACACACACACACACACACACACACACACACACAGTCATTCTTCAAGGAGGTTAGGGATGGGTCAGTCGGTAAAGCATTTGCCATGAAAACATGAGGATTGCATAGAGCTCTATCCCCACCATCCACAACACACATTGGAAATCTCAGAGCTGGGAAGGAAAATACAGGTGGATCACTGAGGTTTACTAGCCAGCCAGTCCACTCAAAATTGTAAGCAACAGATTTAACTGAGAGACCCTATTACAAAGAGTAAGGCTAAGAGCAACTGAGTAAAACACCTGTCACTGGCCTCTAATTGCTGAACACACACACACACACACACACACACACACACACACACAGAGAGAGAGAGAGAGAGAGAGAGAGAGAGAGAGAGAGATTGGTTTGGAATTAGGAAAGAATTTCCAAAAATTTCTGAAATGACCCTACACATATTTCTGTAATTCTGAATTACATATGTGTTAATATAAACCAGCATTCTCAACATGACAATTATAAATCAAAATATCAATCAACTATCAACTCTGAAGCACAATAAACATACCTGATGTCCTACAGTATCAAATACTCCAAGGTTTACTTTTATGCAAAAATAATCACATTCATTGCATTAGCATGCATATTTACCATTCATTTTAAATAAATAGTAAAATCACATTTATGCCAATGAATGTTTTTAAAATTAATTTCCTTTTATTAGAAATAAGTATTTGATCTATATGTAAAATTTTCTCTGGCCAAAGGGGTTAGCAAAGTAGGATTATGAAAGCCCTGCTCTATGTTGCTCAAAAGACAATTTAACTTTTTTTTTAAGTCTGTAATTTACAAGAAAGTTCACTATTTTGTTTTCTCGTCTTTCTTTCTTTCCTTTTTTTTTTTTTTTTTTTTTTTTTTTTTTTTGTACAGGGTTTTACCATGCAGTTCAAGCTGGCCAGAACTTGGAATCTTCCTGCTTAGCATTTCAAGTGCTAAAACTATGGGTGAGGGCACCATGCCAGGGCTTGCTCCCCCAGTTAATTAAAAAATAAAATGTTCTCAAAATACTTATGACAGTTAACTACTAATGATAGTATATAGTAACATGCTTTTTTTCTTGTTTTGTTTTTTGGAGACAGGGTTTCTCTGTGTAGCTTTGAAGCCTGTCCTGAAACTCACTTTGTAGACCAGGCTGGCCTCAAACTCACCTGCCTCTGCCTCCTGAGTGCTGGAATCAAAGGTGTGTGTCACCACCACCCAGCAGTATCATGCTTTTAAAGAGTAAATAAATTATACATATACACACATACAAAGCTAGCATATATGCTCACATAAACATGTTTTAGACAGATTTGCATCTCTTCCTGAAATGTTTCTGCTAGCACCATGAAAGGACTAGGGAGATACATTGTTTATGACAAGATACACTGTTAACAGTGCTTTTGAGCCAGTCAGTGGTGGCCCACAGCTTTGATCCCAGCACTCCAGAGGCAGAGGCACTCTGTGAGTGTAAGACCAGCCTGATGTACAGAGTTAATTCCAGGACAGCCAAGGCTACACAGAGAAACCCTGCCGGGAAAAAAAGAAAACAACAAAAAAGTACTTCTGAACAAAGAACTCACTTCATAAGAGAAGGAATACAGATGGGCTCTAACCTTTGATTGCCTGATCTCCCCACATGGTACATCACCCAAAAGCAGAAGTTCTAGTAGAAAATGCTAGTTGAGAAAGCAATCCCTCAAGGTTGACACTCTTATTTGACAGAATGCACTTACTCTTTGAATCAAATACTGTTTTCTCCATAGCCAGAGTACATAAAACTGAAAAATAAAGAACAGAAGTAGTCCCTCTCAGTATCAGCCTTAAAAACCCTACTGGCAGTTTTGTTTCCAATAGTTCCAAATTTGACATCTGTGGTTTAGGTGCTTTGATTAGGTGGAAGAAACAATTCCACCAGGATCCACTGAAAGATGAAACTGCTTTGTGATTATTGCCTCCAAGCCACTAAACCAGGATTCCTCAACGTAGGCATTACTGACATTTTTGACAAGATAATTTTGTACAGCTAAGGGCCAACCTTCACTCCCCATCTCTAAGCATCATAGGATACTTAGGAACATTCAGGTCAGATCCCTGAACTCCACCCATGCGATACCATGAGCATCACCTTCCCAAAGTTGTAACTATTCAAAATATCTCCACACACTGTCAAATATCCTCTGGAAGACAAAATTACCCCTGGTTAAGAAAACTGCACTACATCAAGTCAAAGGTCACTCCATTAAATGGAGTCAGTCCATGGCCAAGGAGATAAAGTATTGCTGCCACATAAAGGGGATAGAGAAAACTGGAACTTTTACCTATGAAATGTCTCTAAAAGTTAATGCAAAACACTGCACCCACACAGCAGGTGCCCAGGACAGAATCATATTCTCCTCTGACAAAGGTTTGGATTCCCACATTGTCTAGGTACAAAATGATGGTCAAGGACACATGAATCAGGCAGCAGCAGAAAAAAAGTTACACCTAACAATTCTCCTGTCTCCACCTCCCTATTGTCCTGGAGTAACAGGCACATTTGTGGCCACCCTGCCCTTTTTTATGTCAGTGCTGGGCTCCAAACTCTAATCTTCATGCTTGCAAAGTAACTGCTCATGCCCACTGGGTCCTTTATCTATCTTCCACAGCTCCCACCTTGTTTTTTTGTTTTTCACAGTCCAAGGAGGCTTTTTATGTATGCGTTTTACATCTCTAGATAAAGAATCCCAGGATTTTCCCTCCTGTGTGTTTTCGTCTTGCTTCTTCATGGTCCATGATGCCATCTGAGGCTGTCAGTACAATGAAGCCAAACTGATGGGTTGGGAGCAGATTATTCTGCCATTTTTCTAGGTCTTTGAGCTGCACATCAAATCTAGGGCTGATTACTCCACACTTGCTCAACCTACCTATGAGGTTCACGACAATTTTCCCAGCTCTGTGGTCATCAATGATTTCAAACTCACCAATGTAACCATGCTTCATTATCACAGTTAGGAACCAAACAATGACTTTAGAGCAGGGCCTGATGAGGACCTGGAGTCTGCCTCTATTCTCAGCATTGTTGATGCTCTTCAGAGCATCTGCCAGGATATTCATGTGCACCATGGTGACTGCACAGAAAGATGGCAGAAAACCCCACCTTGTTTTTTATTATGTACCTCAAGATACATAATTAAATTTGACTGGCTAGCCAAAGAGCCCCAAGGATCCTCCTATCACTAATCACTGATACAGCAGTGAGAGATCAAACAGAGTCTATGAACTGGTGGATCTTAAATAGTATTAGTCAAGCGAACTGTTTTCCAATAATAATAAAAAATAATAATAATGAGGGGGGACGGCAGGGAAGGGGAAGAGGGAAAGAACACGAATGAGCAAACGGCAGTGAAGAGTATAGCAATGACAGGAGCAAATGCTAGAGACCTGGGCCTAACATTTTTAATTAAATAAATGAAAGACCTTAAGCAATTAATAACTGTTACTGATTCCTAGATGACCTATTTGATTCCCTTCTATGAACTCCCAATTCTTCAGAGAAATTCTCAAGTCATCATACTTGTCTTCTCCTCTATTTTCTTTATTTAGCAAAACACATTTTCTGTTTTGTTTTGTCTTAAAAATTCACAAGTATGGGGGGGTGTCCTTGAGGCCAGAAGAAGGCATTGGATCACTTGGAATCAGAGTTACAGGCAGCTGTATGCTGGGCAGGTATGCTGCCCAATATGGGTCCTGAGAACCAAATTCAAATCCTCTAGAACAGCAACTGTTGTTTCCGCAGCCTCACATTACAAGTTGGGTTTTTTTGGTGGTGGTGGTGGTGGTGGTGGTGGTGGTGGTGGTGGTGGTGGTGGTGGTAGTTAAGTCTTTGTCTGGGGCCAACTTTCTGAATCTACTTCTACAGTTTACTTTGCTTCTTGAATATAGGCCACATTTTCCCACCGTTTTGTGTCTCTAGAAACTGTTGTACTCTGGATATTGCAAATGAAAAAAATCTTAAAACTCTACAAGGTATCTTCCTAGCCAGTGAGAATCTCTATTTTGATTAAGCAAAAAAGGGCGAGAAAGGTGATCATTGCAATCCAGTCAGTGTTTGAAGTGGGCCAACGACATGCTACAATTTTAGTAAGAGTCTGTTTATTTCTGATTCATCTCTTTCCTTCAGCATTGTCCATAATCAGCCCACCTACAAATGTCTCTTGTATCCCTGGAATTTTAATTCATTTGATCTTCACTACTTCAAAAACCTCTGGTGTTTTTAAAAATGTTGATTCTTAAAGCTCATCTGGTGTTTGTTTGAACTTGTTGCAGTGGTGTGTATAACTGTGCTGTCATCTCCTAAATAAATACTATCCAGAAGCCAAATGTCCTGCATGTGTAGACCCAACAGTAGTTTACAAGACTAGCTTTTCATAAAAACTATCTATGGAGACTGTTTTAAAATTATAACCACTTCCAGACATCCGAAACTCATAGGTATTTAGTGGATCCAGGAAACCAGTCCTTTTAAACAAGATTCAAGTGAACTTATTAAAAGCTAGCATTTCTAAAGAAACCACTGACTTCTCGCTCCTCCCCCAATGTTCAGTAAGGATATTTTTGTTTTTGTATTTTGAGACAGGGTTTCTCTATAGTTTTGGAGTCTATCCTAAAACTCACTCTGTAGACCAGAATGGCCTCAAATTCACAGAGATCATCCTGCCTCTGCCTCCTGAATGCTGGGATTAAAGGTGAGGGCTACCACTGTCTGAACAGTAAAGATATTTTTAAAAGAACATATACTATACATAATAAATGAAGAGGCAGAAGAGTAAAACACTCAAACTTTGAGAATAACTACAGACTTGCAGATAAAAAGCAGAACATGTGAAGGTTTTAAAAATTATATTAGGACAAAAGATAAGCAAGAACTAGGAGAGAGCCCACAGCAGCACTCACCCAGCAGGTACAAAGGTACAAAGCACTAGACTCCATCCCCAGTACCAAAAGAAAAAAAAAATGAAGGGAGAAAGACAGAAACCACTGGAGTACATACTACTAGGTGACCCAAACACATAACTATTTGATTTTCCCTTGAAGTATTGTAACAGAAACAAAGTGATCTTCAAATGTGGAAAAGCATTGCTAAATATCAACAAAAAGCTTGCATAATAAAAGCATGAAGAGCCTTACTATCTGCTTTATCTAAGTTGAAGTCTACACAAATTAATCCAAGAGTACCAAGGAAATCTGAAAATGTGGGAGGGAGATGTCAGTGAACTTCGAAGAGTCCTGCAGAAAAAGAAGGCCAAGCTGGGAATGAGAAAATGCTATCTCAACTGTCTAAATGCAGGGGTAATAGTGACAAGGTGATTTCAATACCATGCACTTAATGTTCATCACACAGATGACTTGTCAGGTCTATGGGAATTTAACATTTACTTCTAATAATAAATCTTACCTGTGTAGAACTCTCCCCCTACTCCCACCTCTCATGTAGCCTGACTGTCCTCAACTCACAGAGGGAGGTCCACCTGCCTCTGCCTCCCGAGTGCTAGGATGAAAGGTGTGTACCATCACGCCTGGCTTTGTGCACAGCATTTTTGTTTTGAGTTTAAGAGTTCATAATATATTCCTATCTCTGACTCCCACAAAGCCTGATTTAAAAAAAAAAAAAAAAAAAAAGGGAGGGACAAGTCTTTCTACAACCAGCACATCTTTCAACATACTCAATAGTTAAGGCTTGGAAAGCTTGACTTGCCTGGATGAGAACATACTCCCATAGAAAACCAGAAACTGAGACTAGGCAAATGGCTCAGTGGATAAAGTGTTTATCATGCAAGCATGCAAACCTGAGTTTAGACCCCCAAACACCCATATGTGTGCATGATGCATGTGCCTATAACCACAACACTGGGGGCTAGAAACAGGAGGTCATGGACTTGCTAGCCAGTCAGTCTAAGCAAAGCAGCCGAAATTCAGATTCAGACAAAGACCTGCCTTAAAAAGGTGAAGACTGCCCAGTGCTGATAGTGTGTGCCTTTTATCCCAGCACTCGGGAGCAAAAGCAGGATCTCTGTGAGTTCAAGGCCAGCCTGGTCTACAGAGCTGATCTATAGAGTTCCAGGACAGGCTCCAAAGCTACACAGAGAAACCCTGTCTCAAGTGTGTGTGGGTGGGGGGGGGGGGGGAGGTGAAGACCAGTAAGAGAAAGAAACCTGAAGTCAACCTCCGGCCTCCACAGGAGAATGTATGTATGTATGTATGTATGTATGTATATGTATATGTATGTGTGTGTGTGTGTGTGTGTATACACACACAAATACAAATACATATACAAACACACACAAAAAAATATAAAATAAGGAGCTAAGTAAAGGTTTTTCATTCCTAACTAAGCATGAAGACTAAGTTATTCTGAAATGACATATGGGATCACTTCAAAATAATGGAGAGGCAGTGAGTAGCAAATAGGTAGCAAACAACATGGATGAAATCGGAGGAGTAAAAGCATTACTTTTACTTAAATGGGGCTTAATGCTAATGGATATACAGTCATTTGAGATTTATTTTATGTGTCTGGGTGTATGCCTGAATGAATGTCTGTGTATCATGTACATGCCTAGTGCTCTGAGAGACCAGGAGAGAATATCTAATACCCTGGAAATATAATTGCAGATGGTGAGCTGTCAGGAACTAACCCAGACCTCTGCAATAACAGCAAATACTTTTATCTGTTAAGCCATCTGGCCAACCCCTCTGCTTTCACTTTTTTTTTTAACTTTTATAAATTTTATAGTAAATTTTAATGATAAAATGTATAGACACAAACAAGTCAACATTTTTATAGGTTTACTGTGCTAGAAGTAGATAAATATAGAAACATAATATTACCTGAATCTTTCTTTTCCATAGTATTAGGAATTGAACCCATGACCCTATACACTGTCAAATCCTCTACTGATAAGTTACAAACCTGCTGTATCTTGTTTTTCTTTGAATGGTGGCCTTTAACTTGCTATGCACCCTCAGAATAGCCTAAAATTCATGATCCGTCTTCCTCTACCTCTGGTGGGCTAGAATTATGTACCTGTGCCACTCACTACAGACTCTGCCTCAGTATTTTTTAAGTCATTAATTTTATTCAAGTCTCATAACGGCCTCTTATATTAAAATACTGACAGGACACTGGGCATGGTGACATACCTTTAATTCTAGTACTCAGGAGGCAAAGACAGGCAGATTTTTATGGGTTCAAAACCAGCCTGGTCTACATAGAAAAGTTCCAGGCCAGCTAAGACTGCACAGTAAGACCCTATCTCCAAAAAAAAAAAAAAAAAAAAAAAAAAAAAAAAAAAAAGAGAGAGAGAGACAGACAAAAAAAAGAATGGTATGCCAGTTATTAACCTCCACTGCGCAATCGATCCTTGGGATGGTGAGATGTCTGGGAAGCACGTCTCCTGTAAAATGGTTGAGGAACACAAGGAGTAGTAGGTGTGAGGAATGCTTAGTATCTCCTCTCAAGTACTTTTTTAAAGTAAACAAACTTACTGTTAAGTTATAGAGGGTAGAATTAGAAACACTGAATGCAAAGCTGAAGAAGGCCAAATCCCAAACTTTCTTCTCTTTTTAAAAACCTACTCCTATTAAGGCTCATGACTAATACACTACCCACTAACAACACTGTCACAATTACCTAACAATCTTCTAGGTATCTTCTCATTAAAAAAATCTGAGGGAAGGCTGATGAGTGAGGACTGGGAGGACAGGAGGGAGGTGAAACTGTGGCTGGGATGTAATATATGAGAGAAAAATACAATAATAAAAAAAAATCTGTATCCTGGTTCAGTTTTTCTTCTGCCCCACATCCACCACCCTCCCTCTAGGTATATCTAGGTTATTGTTGCTAACACTCAGAGAAGCATGAGTATTGTTTGTAAGTATGCCTCAAAAATATTTAAGAAACACACTAAACCTTCATTTATTATTATAAGACATTCAAATTTAAGTGGGCAGCTGGGCATAGTGGCTTATGCCTGTAGTCCCCAATATTCAGGAGGCTGAGAGGCAAGAAAGATCATAGGTTTGAGGCCAACCTGCCAAAAAAAAAAATTGTTTTTAAACTGAGC